TTGACAGTCGTTGTTACTTGGAATTCTCCCCCAGCCGAGGTGACCAGACCACCCTCAGTGGACAGATTTAAGAAGAGACTTGATAATCACGTACTCACTTACGGTTATCATTTCCCTCTTGAACAATCTGCTCATGATACATATCTTGAGACCTGCCAGTTGTTATCACTGCCATCTCTTCAGATTACTTACTTAATCTATCTTGCCTATTATCTCTGTTTCCTCTGTCTTGCTTACACGTCGGTCCTCTCTCACAATCTTCACTACCAATTAATAAACCTAATCATCCATATTTTACTTAGTTCTGAAATTTTGGTCATATTAGTCATATTATCCTTATTATCCCGATTATTCTCCACATTGTAACTAACTGATATCCTGTCTGGTAATGTGATAGCTGTTGGTATCCAGAAACCCTACTACCCTGAAACAAACGTTTTCATTCAAATCCCGAGACATACAAACTCACAACCAACTGCCAACTGACTAGAATTAGACAGTTGAGTGGCTGAATCCAATTCATTGGGCACTACCGAACATCTGGAACTGTACTGAAAGAACAAGAATCGAGAGCAAAGAAATCAATTGGTTTATACAAGCTCTTGGAAAAGATATTGGATATTGGATATGTTGGGTATCGCCTGCGAAGTCTGACTTGTGCGTTATGTAAGCGCCCATAACCTCTATTTACTCATCCTCAAAAAGTATACTTGGGAAACTGTGCCTTACAATTTATTCATAAAGATTATTGTGAGATACTGCAAAGATGTATCATCGTGTTGTTTTTAATGAAAATTATATCTCAATCTTCGTTTGAAAAAGGAGAAGGTTTACAAACTCGTGAATCAACTTCTGTTTTGTGTATTTATCAAATTAAAAAAATTCCTGATCTACTCTAACCTGAATTATTCTGGTTAGCGATTTCATTTTTTCGGATTCGTTGCATGCTACTCCGCAGTTATTCGAGTTCCGTATTAGTTAGAATCTTGTGTATTTTATCAGTTTTTTCACCCACTACTCCACTTATACTAATTGTGTGTTTTTATATGGAAAGCCAGATTGTCTTTCTCCTATGGTGGGAAGAATACTGCATGATGAATGGAGTACATTGTTCCACAAGATGCGTACCCTAATACTTACTGATAGTGTTTGAAGACAATTCCTAAACACATTAGAAAATAAGATTGGATTTTGGTTGGTCAGGTCCCGGTAGAATAACAACTGAGATTTTCAAGCACGATGGTCCAGTTTTATAAGTTAGATTGACTTAGATCTTAGCTGGGATCTGGGATCGTCCTAATCTTATGGTTTACCTGCAGTTTCCACTGCTTTTTTAATATCATTCCAAGCTGCATCAGGGTGGGTATGTCTCACAACGATTCCACCTAACTGTTTTTCTAGTTTTTCCTAAAATCTATTCTTAGCTTTATCATTAAGTACAGCCCTAAGAGGTTTCCTTGCAGTGTCTTTCCTACGTCCAGTAAGACGCAAGAAAATATGCGCTCGCACTAGAGCATGATCTAAGTCTAAACAAGTGCTCCAAAATACGCGACAGTCTTCAATTGACCCTAGCCGCCGATGGCTTATAGCGATATGATCTAGTTAGGTCCACCATTGGTCTGCTTAGAGGGTCGCCAGGTCATGAGATGTTTCTCCTCATGCTTAAGGTTAGTGTTTGCTAGAAATAGGCGGTTATCTGAGCAAAGATGGAGCAAACGGTTGCCATTATCCGTTCTATTAGCCGTGACACCATAAGATCCATCCAGGTTTATTTCCTTTTCGCTAAGTCTACCTACTTGAGCGTTAAAGTCACCAGCCATTATTACTATATCAGAGCGCTTAACATTTTGAAGAAGTTTAGAGAGGTTTCTATAAAACTTATCTTTCACGTTGTCTGAACTGCAGTCAGTGGGAGCGTAGGCAGACACGACGAAGAGGCAACGGCGAGTGTCGCTATCCTTCCGAGTCCGTACCGTCCCGTTTAGTCGGACAGCGCATAAGTGACTGTCTATCGGGATCCAGTCTAAGAGAGCTAGTTCTGCCCTAGGACTTAATACTATACCTAGGTCGGCGAGGCCACGAGAGACGGCATCAGGGCTTCCAGAAACACGAAGTGTAAACCGTGTTGTGTCTCTATCTGCACTAGGTGAAATCAAATTGATGATTTTACTCTGATTTCTCATGCACGTTTCGGAGACACGACATACATCGATTGCTCGGGCAACAGGCTTCATTAGCTAGGACTTTAGAATCTCGCGCCATCGATGACTGCTGCGTCTCCGAAACGCGCATAGAGGATCCGAGTAGCATCATTCAGTTGACCTCACCATGTCAAGATAAAGAAGCAACTCGATTTACCCTTCGTGTATCCGGTAGCCCTGATGCTGCTTCCCGGGGTCTCGCTGGTGTAGGTATAGCATTGAGTCGTAGGGCAGAACTATCTCTCCTTGACTGGATCCCTGTAGTCGTTTGTGCGCCGTCCGACTAAACGGGACAGTAAGGACTCGAAGGATAGGGAAACTCGCCGTTGCTTCTTCGTCAAATCAGCCTACGCCCCCACTGACTGCAGTTCAGACGATGTAAAAGATGAGTTCTACAGAAAGCTTTCGGACCTCCTCCAAAACGTTAAGCGCTCTGATATAGTAATAATGGCTGGTGACTTCAATGCTCAAGTAAGTAGACTAAGTGAGCAGGAGAGACACCTTGGTGGATTTTATGGTGTCGCGGCTCAGAGAACAGACAATGGTGACCGTCTGTTGCTAGTATGCTCAGATAACCGCCTATTTCTAGCAAACACTAACTTTAGACATAAAAAAAGCATCTATTGACCTGGCGACCTCCAAAGTCGTCTCAACGTTGGACTCAACTAGATCATATCGCCATCAGCCACCGATGGAGGGGTTCAATAGAGGACTTTCGCTCGTTCTGGGGCACATGTTTAGATTCAGATCATGCCCTAGTGCGAGCGCGTATTTGTTTGAGGCTTACCGGACGTGGGAAAGACACCGTGAGGAAGCCTTTTAGGGTTGTACTTATTGATAATAAAGCTAGGAGTATATTTCAGGAACAACTAGAAAAAGAGTTAAGCGACCATTTAAGCGACTCCCATCCTGATGCAGGTTGGAATGATATCAAAGAGGCTGTGGAAACAGCAGTGATATCTGCTAGTAAGGTAAACCATAAGGCTAGAATAACGCCGTGGATCTCAGTAGCATCCACCGAACTGATGGATGCTCGAAAACGCATCCCACCTGACTCTGAACATGATGAAGAGCGTAGTCAGCTTAGGCGCAGACTTATAAAAAGCCCACGTAACGACCGCAAACAGTGGTGGGTGGTGAAAGCAAAAGCGATGGAAAAGGCATTGGCGATAGGCAACACTAGACAACTTTTCCGACTTATCAAGTGAACTGGTATTAGTAATCCTAGTGTAAGTGAGACTAGCTCAGAAAAGGATGGTCTTATTATCCATTCTCAATCCAGGAGATTGGACTGATGGGCAGAACACTTTAGGGGTCAGTTCAACTGGTCTTCTGCCACACTTCGGTTGCCCACGATCCCCAGTCATCCTGAATGGCAAATCGATTTAAGTCCTCCTAGTCTACATGAAGTTGAGAAAGCTATGGGAAATCTTAAGGGAGGTAGAGCAGCAGGTCCTGATAGGCTTACCCCTGAGATGTTTAAGGATGGTGGTCCAGTTTTAACAGTTAGACTGACCGAGATCTTAGGTAGAATCTGGGAACTGGATGTAATCCCATCTGACTGGTCTCAGTCGCTAGTTGTCCCAATCTAAATGAAAGGACAGAAGTCATCTTGTGACAATCATAGGGAAATAAGTTTAACTAATATAGTTTCTAAATTGTTAGCCTCGATTATAATTAGACGCCTAACTAGAGCTCGTGAAGAGCATACTCGAGAAAACCAGGCTGGTTTTCGACCTGGACGTGGTTGTATAGATCACATCTTCACACTACGACAGGTCCTGGAACACAGACACACATTTAGGCGTCCTACAATGGTTGTTTTCCTGGACCTAAAAGCGGCATTTGACTCTGTCGATCGTGAGGTTCTGTGGCAGTGTCTGTCATTGAAAGGTGTACAAAAGAAGTACATTAACCTTATACAGGATCTCTACTCGAAAACCACTGGTCGAGTAAGAGCTTATGGCGAACTTTCATCAGAATTGATTGCTTCAAGTGGCGTTCATAAGGGTTGCCTACATTCTCCATTGTTGTTCAACTTCATCAGTGACATGCTTTTAGAAATGACACTTTCACCATCTGAATTTTCAGGAGTTGACATTCCACTAAGAGATTCACTCTTTGACTTAGATTTCAGATGACATAGTTCTACATAGTGAAGACGTTCAAAAAATTCAGTCTTCTGATCACCCTAAGCAACCATGCAAGCATGTTCGTGATGCGATTCTCACACTCGAAATGCAAAATGTTGCTTTAGGATTGGCTTGTATCAGCTCCTGGACTAGTGATGAACAGTTGAGCGTGTTGACCGCTTCACTTATTTCGGAAGTCTTATCAGTGATGATGACTTGGTTTTTGATGAAATCTCTGCACTGACGCACAAGGTTCGACTGGCTTTCTCCAACTTGTATCAATTATATCGTAGGAAATCTATCCGTTTGCTGAAGAAAAATTTAAACCTGACCCACTCATCCCAAATTCTACAGCTAACATGCGTTAATGTACCGGGTGGTGCCAATAACCTTAGCTGAACTCAGTTTTACAAATTTACGAAAATATTGGGCCTAGTTTACATTTTGAGATGATATTTCTAATAGTCTTAACCGTGACTAATCAATGCAACTGTATACATTTTTGGAACGTCAAAATCGGGAAAATTACACAGATGCTCCTGCTTGCATTAAATTACCTCTCTGGAGACAGTCAACAGAAATAATTTACGTACGTGTTGTGCTTTACATCTTTAAGAGCAACGTATTCTCGTCATGCAATTCAGCAGCATTATATCCAGTTGGATGAATTAACCAAGCCAATCTCAGAAGAGAAATCTTGTATTGTAGTTATTCTGTCACTAACAAGAACAGTAAACAACTACGTACTGGATGGTCGATCGGTTGCCATCTGGATCAGTATTATTTGTTAATTCCGTACTGACTGATTTATTCAGATACATGCACAGCTTTTCTTGGAGAAACCACTTGCTTGCTACAACAAAGAACTGAACCAAAGCATTAATTACAACAAATTTTCTAGTTGTTTGCTGAAAACAATTTGAAAAACGCAAAATTAGCTCCCTAACCTCAAAGCTCTAATTTACAATTAAGAGGACGTAAATTTGCTAACAAAAATGTATGTAATAGGAGAATTATTACTCCATCGTTTACATGATTCGTTACTATACATGTACATAACCAATCATTAATAAGAACACACGTTTGATCTCGTTTAACTTCTGAGCACATAAATATGACTATATAGCTAGAAGGGAATGGCTCCATAAGAAATCTACGAAGTCACTATGACCTCCAAATTTAATTAATTTATTATTACCGGCCAAATATCAGCCGATCATTTTACGTAAAAGAAACCAAACTATCTCTGTTTCTGAAACCGCAGTAAGTGGCATTCGGTTTTAAACTGCTTCGGTTTGATTAAAATGATTACTTGTCAATTGTCCATTTATTTTTGCTGTACACCCTACAGATTCGTTTTTCTATCCACATCCATTATTTCTCATTAAGTTAAATTCTTGCTTTTTCATTCGACATTGACTGACTCAAAAATTGCTTTCAATATTTGCAGATCCATTAGATGCTTCACTTTTCATGATCGATCTCACTCTATCCTGTCAGATTCTTTTAGAGAAGATAACTAAAAGTTGTACGTAAACGAGTTTTTCGAAAGGTAAAGCTAATACTGAATATTATAATTAACATGCACCAGGTGTCTTTTATGTTATTTAGTTACGAAACAAATTCTATTGTAAGTTGGAACCTGAATATGATATACTCCACACAACCAAGAAATTATAGATAAATGGGGGGGGGCGAAGGAAGTGTAGGTAAAGAATTACGAATTAGTAGACAAGAAGTAGTACATAGTATGAAATATAGTCCAGTTAAAAATACAGGACCCTTCGGTTAACAGAGTTAATCTTTAATAGACAATATAAAGTAGTACCATAGTGAGATTGCTACTGGCTTTTTTTCTGAGACATGTCTGATAACGTCTCATACCACCAAGTTGCATTACCTCTAGAATCCCAACTAAGGCATTGTAATAAACCAGTAGTTTCCATTCCTAGATAGCTTTATTTCATACCACGTGGTCGTATTATAAACTTTCCACTTCTGCATTTTCCACCAAGTCTCACAGTCGGTTGAATGTGGTAGTCGCTGGTGTGAGATTCGTAATTTACGTCCATGCCACCGAAGCGAGTGTTTCAAAATGTCGACACTAATTGAATTGTTGTCATTATACCTAAACACATTGACTATATTATTTTGAATCACCTGGAATTATTATTTTCTTATCATAAATTAAGTATAGCTTGCCGTTTTTTATTTTCATTTACAGCTAGTTAAAAAGTCTAAACTGTTTGTTTTTTCTCATATTCTGTTGAATTTTCAGTAGATACATATCATGGTGGATGCAGAGTTCAAACGAAAACTGAATGAAATTCGTGAAAAAGTAGAAGATCTTTTTGATTTTGAAGGATGTAAAGTTGGTCGTGGAACATACGGAAGTGTTTATAAAGCTAAACTTAAAGATGGTACAGATAATAGAGATTATGCATTAAAGCAAATTGAAGGAACTGGTTTATCTATGTCTGCATGCCGTGAAATAGCTGTAAGTTTCATTTTTATACACTAATAAATAATTTATATCTTATTTAGCTTCTTCGCGAGTTAAAACATCCAAACGTGATTACTCTACAACGGGTTTTTCTTAATCATACAACTAGACGAGTATGGCTGCTATTCGACTTTGCAGAACATGATCTTTGGCATATTATCAAATTTCACAGAACAACTAAAGCAAATAAGAGTACAGTTCAAGTCTATGGCAATATGGTCAAAAGTTTAATGTATCAAATATTAAATGGAATTCATTACCTACATGACAATTGGATTTTACATCGAGATTTGGTATGTACTAATGATAATTTCGTCTCCTTTTTTCCAAGTCTAAAAATAAATATCATTTGGTTCTCGGAGATATTTTTTGAATATATTTTCTTTTCAGTATCGAATATCGCATCATAAGAAATTTGACCTGTCATTATTATCAGAGAGTTTGTCAGTTCATACTGCACTACTATTGTGATATGGCTGTTAATGATAGACTGTATGTGTAAAATACAGAATACCTACTATATGTCTTTTCAGTAATACTCACGTGTTGTGAAATCATCCGGTTGTAAGTCGTAAAGGATGATTTATTTTCGCTGATCTTGTGAACTTGCATCAGCTTAAGCCATAGTTAGGTTATGTTGAATCCTAGCTAGGAAAAGAGTTTGTATACTGTTATTAATGGTAGATTTAGTTTGTTTTAAGAATGATTCGATTATCAGAATGATATATTAAGTGCTGATCGATTATTGATGTGAAATGACACGGTGTGGCTCAATAATACCTGCTCATAAGACTGTATCTGCTAACTCGTTAAACTCAACTACGCTTAGAAAGACCGAACAATTTAACACGAGATTCAAGTGGAATATTTTAGTCAAGCTGTTGTCTACATTTGTTTAGCCATCAAAACTTCAACCTATCAGTCATGGGTTTGGACTTTATTCAAATCAATGATTTTTATTTTTAATATCTATAAGTTTTAGTGGTGTTGTTGTTAGATTCTTGGGAGACTTAGTAGGAAAGTATAGTCAAATGTTTTTGGCAAATAATTTTAAAACCCTAAGATCTAGGTAGATAACAGTGGAATGCCATATGTATTACTGATAACGATTCTGAGGCATGTTCCATGACATCTCTTGTTGTCGGTCAAGGCAATCACATTGGCCCTGATCAGGTATTGTAAACTTGTTAACACATCTTATTTTAACAGTCAGTCAGCTAAAACATCATTGCAAGTTGCCATTCCACATTAGCACAGACAGATGCACTTGTCAGTTCAAATCACACAGTGGTAGAGGTATTAGCAGTATTAGCGGTATTTGAAAACATGATTCAAAAAGTATATCTCAGTGAAATAAATTTTACGAGAAAGAAAAAGCGGGCATAGAGAATTCAGAAGATTAAAATTGAAGAAAAGATATAGAATGGATGTGTTTGCGCCATTGCTAACAATTTTGAGCCATGTCATTTTCAGTCCTTAATCATTGGTTACTATTGTCTCGCGGACCCTAGTGAGGTAGTTTACACATATTAACATGGCTCAGTTCAGTTATCAGTGACTTCATGGATTTGTTCTATGTTTTTTGGCCACACCTAGATTTCTTCCAGCCTACGCTTACATCAGACTATCACTCTTCTAGGTAGTCGGTGATTAGGCAAACGTAACACATGTCCCAACTACCTCAACTGATGAACATTCACTTCTTCATCAGTTGATTTGTCATCCTTACTTAGTACCTTTTTCTCAATACCAGCATTGTTTACTCAGTGCTCCCAGTATATTCGGGCTATAATTCGAAAAGACCTATGGTCGAATACGAATAACCTAAGAGTATCGTCTGTTCTTAGGGGCTGTTTTACACCCATGAGTTAATAGGACGGAGCAAACTGCTGTGCAGTACACTAGTCCTTTGGTTAACAGATGGATATCTCGCCTGCGCCATAAGTGACGCAAGTTGGCAAAAGCCAGTCGAACCTTGTGCGTCAGTGCAGAGATTTCATCAAAAACCAAGTCATCATCACTGATAAGACTTCCGAAATAAGTGAAGCGGTCAACACGCTCAACTGTTCATCACTAGTCCAGGAGCTGATACAAGCCAATCCTAAAGCAACATTTTGCATTTCGAGTGTGAGAATCGCATCACGAACATGCTTGCATGGTTGCTTAGGGTGATCAGAAGACTGAATTTTTTGAACGTCTTCACTATGTAGAACTATGTCATCTGAAATCTAAGTCAAAGAGTGAATCTCTTAGTGGAATGTCAACTCCTGAAAATTCAGATGGTGAAAGTGTCATTTCTAAAAGCATGTCACTGATGAAGTTGAACAACAATGGAGAATGTAGGCAACCCTTATGAACGCCACTTGAAGCAATCAATTCTGATGAAAGTTCGCCATAAGCTCTTACTCGACCAGTGGTTTTCGAGTAGAGATCCTGTATAAGGTTAATGTACTTCTTTTGTACACCTTTCAATGACAGACACTGCCACAGAACCTCACGATCGACAGAGTCAAATGCCGCTTTTAGGTCCAGGAAAACAACCATTGTAGTATTTTGCTACCCCTTTGTACCAATGTTTAATTGTGTTTAAATAAGTAAAATTTTCACTTCGTCGTGTTAATTTGGTATGGCAACTTGAATCAACTCTTTTTTGCACCGGGCTCTGTTAACGATATCTTTCTGTCTAACATTTCTATTCTCGTTATATGTATGATAATATAATTCGCTTTTTGATTTTTGTTTAGAAACCTGCAAATATATTAGTTATGGGTGAAGGTCCTGATCGAGGTAGAGTTAAAATAGGAGATTTAGGCTTTGCTCGTCTATTCTATCAACCATTGAAACCATTAGCTGATTTGGATCCAGTTGTTGTGACATTTTGGTATCGTGCACCGGAATTACTTTTAGGAGCTAGACATTATACAAAAGCTATCGATATCTGGGCTATTGGGTGTATTTTTGCAGAATTACTCACTTATGAGCCGATATTTCATTGTCGCCAAGAAGATATTAAAACAAGTACACCATACCATAAAGAACAACTGGAACGTATTTTTCGTGTAATGGGTTATCCACCAGGTATGTATATTATTATATTAACGAGACACTAATGATCAATGATATATCGCAACTTACTAAAATCTCCGATAACAATTCTCTATATGTAAACCTTTTTGAGCGATATGTGAATTTTTTTCCATCAGGAACTGTCTTCAGTCGAACATATACTCTAAACCATAATACACCGAACATTTATTTAGTGAAGCGATAACTTATTGTTCAAAACACTTCTGTTGTCAGTTTGCAGGTGCAAGATGTTGGGGAGAAATAGCTGTCCACTCCTTCCTAGTTCCCATGGATACTCCGTATGAGATCCATCTGTAACGAAAACTGTATACAGATTTTCTGATTTTTTTCTCCATAATAATTCTTATATTTTATGTCCTTAGTGGTCATACAATGAAATTGATGTCTGACCAATGAAAGTACGTTGTGATTGGCCAGTATGTGACTACAAATAGACACTCAGCTATGTGAACCCCTTCCGTCTGTTGCTTTCATGTTACTGTACTCCTCATTTCATATTGTGTTAATAAGAAATTGTTGTCTCTACAATTGAATTCTCAATACTTGATTGGATGTTCTTTATGTGTATCACGTGATCTAGTATAGTAGTCTGATTATCTAGTAAATTGATCGAGAATATTCAGTCATATTATCTTGTCTAGTGTTCGATGAATTGTTATATTCGTCCGAGAAGATCCTCAAATACTTTGATACTTTTGAAATCGAGAAGGGTCTGTTATCCTCCAAATGCTTTCATATTACCACGCGTGTACAGTCACTGTCATAGAAGTCCTACGTGATATACTGAGTCAATCAGAAGTGACCTAGTGAGAAGGGCATTGGATAACTATCGGAAAATTTCCTAAAGGACAAATGAGTATCGTTGGTTAACACACGCAAACGAATATTTGTTCATATTATTCGGTAGTCGAATAGACCTCTTCTGATCCTTACCTTTTCGATCAAGCAGCCAGTTCCATCTAAGGGAGTTGAAAAACCCTCATTCCACCATCGTAAGAGAATAAACGATTTACGAACCTCTTATTGAACACTGACTAACACGAGACTGTAGGATCCAAACTGAGGTTTGGACTGAGGAATAACTGTCCAGGTAGTTTAGATACGTGTCTTGCTCAGTTGAAATCCAAAACAAGTGATTTGAGTAAATAACGGTTCTAATATTCATCATAGATATAAATATACATCATTACCCAAACAATATTACCACAGCTATTCCACAATAATTGATCAATTATTCAAATAAATGATATTTTATCCCTTCTGGATAGATCAGATTCGTTCGACAGATAATATTTGTTTGCTTTATAACACAGAGTGTTTCCAATTCTGGAAGAGTGCTTCAATTCACAATCAAAATGCACAATTCTAATCAAAGCAAGCATGCAATCCAATCAAAAGAGGAACAAATCAATATGGCTGTCACCATAACTAAGTATCAACTTAAACAACATAGTGCAGTTCATAAAGAAACATAGAAACTCTGTAAAGGCAGAAGAAATAGAAACTATAATAAAATACAAATATTATCATCTCAAAACGGAATCGAACAGATTAACAAAATGCGCAACTGAAGGAATCAATAAGGACACACTACAAATGGAAGGATTTTCACAAAGAAAGCCTTCTGAAATGGATCTTACAAGACTGTATCTCCTAAAGTCGCCCCACTGCATTATACATTAAACCTCTAGGTCAAAAGCTCGGCTAGTGGCACCTGAGAAAATCGCCTTCAGTTTGGGCATCCGTGCAGTGTAATCCTGTCTACTCACAAATTCAATTATTTGTTTGGTGCATAAATATTTAGGCGCCCCTTTGTACTAATAGAAATAAATTATTTTTATTATTTTCGTTAAAACAGCATTTATTTGAGTATATTCATTCAATTTGTCGCCTTTGTTAATTTTTATTTCTAATCAATTTAGATGATGCTTGGGTCGATATGAAAAAAATGCCAGATTATCATCAATTATTACGTGATTCCATTAGTAAGAAAACTTATGGTAAATATTCACTAGAAGGTTATTTTGAAGAGAAAAAATTCAAAGTGGATGAAAGAGAATTAGCTCTGGTAAATCAGTTGACAATTTCTGTTCATTGTATGTAGCCTAGGATGTGATGTGTGTTATTTTGCTACTACTTACTACTACTACTACTACTACTATTACTATTATTGATTGTAATGAAAAAAGAAAAGAATATTTTTTATTAGATTCGAGCTAGAAAATATCATTATCTGATATTGGACAGTGAACAACAATACAAATAATGAATAAAGTTTTATTTTCAACTCAACTCAAATAGTTATAAGAGATGTATGCCTATTATATATCTTAGTTGTTGAACTATAGATCCGTAGGCAATGATTTATATTCAGTTAATTTGAGAAAATATTAGATACATATATTGATTGATTGTTAAGATGCTCCAACTTCTTTTCATCCAAACCTACCAGTTAGATGTATGTGAGAGTAATATTGTATCGTAAATATTGATTTGTTCTTTCAAATTAGAAAGGAAACTATTCATGTCATATCACCTAAAAAGTAATTCATTTATATTAAACATTGAAAACTTCACTTAAATGGTTTACTTTTATTCGTTTACCGACAATAGAATGAGATTATGTGTCTGATATACATAGCTTTTATTCACTTTTCAATATGATTCATGTTCTATTAGCTGTTATCCAGTCATAAACTAAGTCTCTTTGTAGAAATTCGGCCCACTTCAGTGCATTTATATAGTTCTTTACCGTCCACTTAATATTCACGATCACTATACTAACAATCATTGGAAAGAACTTCATGACCGATTGTACCCACAGTTTTGAGTTAAAGTTAGGGGTTCTGCACTCTTTTTCTCGCAATCTGTTCATCAAATTAGTTTAATGAACTTCTTTCACTGTGGTGTTTATCTGTAGCCAAATTCACTTCCACATACAATAATCATCATCAAATGATATTTAATTGGCTTTACCATCATAATCAAGATTGTTACAGTTTTGTTTGTCAAACTTTTAGTGGTAAGTGATTGCAAAACAAAAACAATTTATACTTATTAGTTAGATGACAAATAGTGGTTTAGTGATTTTGAATAATTACGACTTTTCACTTAAAAACATTGTTCTCAATAGTCTATTGGTAAGACAATTAAAATGTATAAAACACTACTATTTGATTTAATTAGTTTCATATCATTTATACCTATCAATATATTGTAAATGCACTCAACAGATGAGCATCAACTAGCCTAATAATTAAATTCACAAATTCTTTCTGACCACTTTCAACCATAGAGTATTCAAAACTTTTATCGTGAGAATTACTAGGTTCTTAATAAATAAAAAAAGCATAAATAGTCTTTAGGGACACTGTTTGTGAAGTCTCACATATTTATTATGTTTCTCAATGTTACCTCCAACTAAATAAGTCTACTGTTCGTATCTGATAAGTCTGCTGAATGAACTCAATGATCTTATTTCCTAACCGTTTCTAATAACCCCGAACTAAATCTATACTTCAACTTGAACACAAGAGAAAAGGCGCAAAGTGAGAATAATGCTTTACTCCAAGGTTAGTGTATATGCAGAGAAATGAGAGTATTAATAGAGGTACTTATAACTTTGGGCTTCTGGAAGGTGCAAGAGTCATACTAAGTGTAGTAGCGGTTTGTGTAGATAGGCATTAAGAATCGTGGCACGCGGTTCTGCATTTTACAAATGTTCCTATTAAGGTTCCATCAAATGCCGATTGAATAGAACGTTTCCTGGTGTTTCTAGGTCTCTGGAGACCTTTATGAGGGATATTTTGGGACTTTCACAACTGTAATAAATAAATGCATGGGATTAATTACTGTCATTGTAATAAAAAGCTAACAATAGAATAAGTGATAATTTCTTCTTATTTTGGCATAGTATCAACAAATGTTTTTGATGTTCTTTTCTCATCTATATTCTCTAAGCTTAGACGTTTGTTAACTATGGATCCGGTCAAACGCTTATCTGCTGCTGAAGCTATGGAAGATTCTTATTTCAAAGAAGGTGAAAAACCAAATAATGAGTAAGTCAGAAAAAAATAGATTCTCTTACAGACGTGTAATTCGTAATTGTACATTTTAGAATATGTATACTTTGTTTCCTGTATTGGTACATTTTCTTCTAACCTTCATCTTTTATCAATGTTTCATTCAGCTGCATCGATTGAATTATTCCGTGACATTGTATGAAACAAAACTGCTTTCCAAACAATGAACTTTATTCAGCTCTTTACTTAATATCCAAATGAATCGATACACTAATCGAACTATTGGTACTGTGATAGATACTATTCGCAACATAGCTAGTAGTTTGGTGCAAGCTACTTATAAGTAGTATATGACGTGAGTGTCAACGTAATGTCTGGCAGCAAAGAAGATGGGGGAAGATCAAGAAAGGAAGAGTTAGAAGAACACAATGGAATTTGTATGAAACGCATGAATAGTGACAATGGATTGATGTTTTGCAACAGGAACAGTCCAGTTCGACATGATGGACTGATATTTTGCAAATTAAGGATTTACGATATGATTTTCCAGTTTTACTGAGTTACTCTGTAATTTTTCGTTAAATACAATCCGGTTGCCCCATCTGTGTTCTCGTTCACTACAGTAGTAGTAGTAGTAGTATGCAACGCAGTGTCTCTCAGAAGTAAAGAGTTTCAGATCTGGATGTGTAAAGCTATCAAAGTGTTGTATGAAGACTAGAGGACAGCCAAGATTCTGTATGTTTTGTTAATGAAAAGTATGTGGATAAGTGTTGTACAACACATTATAGGCTAATAAATCACTTATTCCATTCCATCTTTTGACAACTTTGTTCATTACAATAGTAATTAATATTTTATTAAAGATTGAATTTTATATTTTAAAATTAAAAAATTTTATGCTAACTTACTTGTGTTTTCCTTCTATCCACTAATTTTATAACACTTTACAAATATACTTTAGTTATTGACTTTTCAATCAACAATATTCATACAAGTTCTAGTCACTTTATCAAAAATTTTAAAAAAAACGTATAGATTCCATCTAAAAAGGTGGTTAGAAGAGAACTCTGTATTCTAGGTAGACAACAAAGTCTACTTGAAATTTTTAAGAAACTAATTTTTCAAATTTATTTAAATGTAAACAATAGTAAATAAATCCTTATTTTTTTTATCTTGAGCCATGTTGGTGGTAAACGTAGACTATTTGATTTGGGTCTGCGAAAGACAACAGTAATCGATGGTTAGAGACTTTGAATGATATGGCTTAGAATCGTTTGCAATGGTGCAGGTGCATCCACTCTTTGTGTTCTCTTCACTTTTAATCTTATGATTTCCTGGTGACCTTTTTTCTCTTTTAAATTTATTTCACTTAATTATACTTGTCGAATCGTTTCATCGATCCGTAATTTTTTCATTTGCCACTAATACTTCTACTACCTCTCTTCCACTATGGGATTTGAATGGACAATTTCATCTCTATGTGCTAATGTGGTATGGCAACTTGAAGTGATGTACGTACTTACGTACTAAGTTCTATGTTTTAGCTGACTGACTGACTGATTATTCTTTAGTCAATTTCATTGTATTTTTGTGATTTCTATTCATTAATTAATAGTGTATGTGAGAACAAACAATGAATCATTTGATCCTGAATATATTTTTTCTTCTTTGTAACAATTATTTCATGGAGATTTTTACATTGATTGATAATTATTTAATTGATAAAATTCTTTTCTCTTTTTTGAAGTAGCTATAACTAGAAGATGACCAGAGAGAGCTCTGTTCAATGACAGTAATATTGTAATTGTTACTTATTAATATCCTACTCCATAATATTAATTTTGATAGATACAGGTACATTCAACAGATGAATTCTAAATAGAACAAAATGTATGTGTTCAATGCGATTGCTAGTTATATTTCATTCAATTGGTTTATTGTTTTTTTTTTTCTTTTTTCTTGATTAAATATTGTAGTGTTTTTGGAAATTTGCCTATACCTTATCCTAAACGAGAATTTATCTCTGATGATGATTCCGATGAGAAACAAACTGGTGCAGATAAGAATATCACACAAACTGCACAACAACAACAACAACAGCAAAACGCTACTGGAGGAGGTGGTGGTGGTGTTGGAAGACAAACTACAGCACATCCTCATCAATCTCAGCATCAACAACAACAACAACGTGTAAACAATGCTGCACAACCTCAATTACCATTAACTCAACAACAACAGCAACAACAACAACAACAACGAGTAAGTGGACAACCACAACCACCATTGAATACACAACAGCAACATATAAACTCTAGTCAGTCTAATCCACATACAGGACAACAATTAATTCATCAACAACAAATCAATGTGAGTATTTATTTAACTTATATAGAGATTGTCTGTATATTTGTTGTTATAATGTTTAAAAAAAGAAAAAAAATCTACTGTATAACAGTTAACAATCAATAAGAAAAAACCAATTCAATTCATAATTCTATATTTCATTTGGATACACATAAGTCGAAATTGGTTGATGCCTTGTTTTTAGTTACATACATGCTACACACACTGCTTGTATTTGGAGGTACCGTCTCTGAGATGAATATTTTAATATTTTAAACTATTAGGATTTATTTACAATGGTAGTTCACTTCTCCTTTTTGATTGTTGTTCAGTTAAACAAAAAACCAATGAAAGCTTCACAACACTTCCGTAACATTGTTGTGTTGAACTACACATCTCATGTGGTATTTCAATATTTTGGTTGTACTTTGTTTGTCATTAGAGATAATCATTAAAAAAAATATGATAGTCACATTTTATGTAGAACACAATTGGACATATAACATAGTTACTTACTTACTTACTTACGCCTGTTACCCCCAATGGAGCATAGGCCGCCAACCAGTTTTCTCCAACCAACTCTGTCCTGCGCCTCTCTTTCCAGTTCTGTCCAATGTTTGTTCATTCCTCTCATATCATTCTCTATTTCTCGGCTTAATGTGTATTCCTTGTCCTTCCTTTTTTCCTTTTGCTTTGAGAGTTCCATGTGCGGGCTTATTTAACATAATTAGTATATGTTATTTAATTTTCAATACTAACTTCATCTTTTCGTTATTAATGTATATCATCATGAGAATTATTATTCCAAACAAACAAACAAACAAAAAGGAAGAAGAAAAAGAAGAAATACATTTGCTTAATGACACATTTACATGAAGATGATGTGATCCCTTGTTATTGATGACAATTTAAAACTACCCAATTGATTGTGATATTTTGATATTGAAAATTAGTGGATAACAATAGATGCGAATTGAATCTGTTATTATTTAATGTTTATCGTTACATGCTTAGTCGTGTGCGGTGTATGGATGACAATAAACTTTTGTAATTCATCTCATTTTCTTATTTTTTTTTTTCTTTCAAAAAAAATTGTTTTAGATGTTAGTGTCTGGTGATGGTCGGTAACAATAACTTTAGTTTATTTTAAAATTATTTGACTTTTTTTAATTATTCGGTTTATAGGTTTAAATATTGCTATACTGTTAACTAGCTGGTCCAATAAATAGCAAATCTACTTTATTGAATCCATATAGATAATAAAAAATTAACAAGCATTTTTCACGTGTACTAAATGTGAATATCAGAGTCTATCCAACTTTTGTAATTGGTAAACAATATACCTAAAGTATTTATCAGATTGATGAGCAGTTTTCATCAACAGCAAAACTCATGCATAACTGTGCAACCTTATGGTTTTCACATAATAAACACCCAATTTACCTTAAGTTTGATCGAGAATGTTCCATCATATAATGTAAAACTCAGGTTTTGTCCTTTCCGGGATTCGTCACTTGTATGTACCTAGATTAGGGACTGGTATAACCTAAAGTTGTTTAAAATACAAATCCAGAATACTGCGTTATTCTAGAATAAAACTCTCTGCATGCTCACAACACTTTATGAAAACGATCCTAAAAACTTCAGGTATGTGCAATATTTCTAGGTTTCAAAGTTGAAACTCACGAACAATTCAATCAAACTTAAATTTTCTGCTAACTCATAACTAATTTTAAAGTCTGAAACAATATTTACGATCTATAAATTTCAACTATGTCGAAAGTAAAAAGTTGTTGATAGATTCAATCGATGAAGTATTGAAACTTCACCAGTTGAGGTGGTTGGGACATGTGTTGCGTATGCCCGACTGCCTCGTCGAGCCTTGTTTTGTAGTGTAGGAGTAGGTTGGAAGAAAGCTAGGGGCGGCCAAACCAAAACATGGCAGAAATCTATGAAGTCATTGACTAGTGGACTTAGCCATGTCGGTAATTGTCGACTACCTGGTTGGGGTCCGCGAGATGATGATAATCGATGGTTAGAGACCTTGAATGAAATGGCTCAAAATCGTTCGCAATGGCGCCGGTGCATTTATTCTCTGTGTTCTCTCAAATGCTAATCTTCTGGATTCTTCAACCCCTCTAGTTTCGACTCTCTAAACTTTTCTTGAATAGTATCTTCTAATCCTAACCTCTCCGATTACTTCTAATTCCCTTACTACCTCTTCTACTATTGGATTTGAATTGACGATTACTTCTCTGTGCTAATGTGGTATGGCAACGTGAACTGATGTACTTGTGTACGAAGTTCTACGTTGCATCTGACTGACTGACTGATAGATTCAAAAAGCTTATTTTCAATATGAATGTATTTGTTTTCTTTTTGCAGAACAATAATGATGACATATCATCAAATAAGCGTATTCGATTATCTCAAGGAAATAATGATACATCAATTGCACCACCGTTATTATCATCTTCATCTTCTTCAACATCATCATCAGCAGCAGCAACAACAACAACAATTATCCATACCACCAACACTAATAAACTTAATATGACAGGACAATCTCAACATGTATCTTCTAATACTACTACTACTACTACTACTTCAGGTTATACAAATCTGGTAAATTAGTGGTTGTTGATTGCTACATATTTGTTTTTAGGGGTTATTTTATTCAACTAAATAAATGTATACATTGTTTTGAGTAAATATTATCTGCGCTTTTATAATTGACTCTTAGTTATATGCCATGAATTCCGATCTTAATCAAAAATCCTACATCTATTTACAATGCCTGAACATGCAATAACATTTTGGAAAATGCACTTAGTTGTAGGTTCTCCGCATCATACTTTTATCTCAGTCAATTCATATTCACTGTCTCGATATCGATGATTTGGTTTTTTTTCACAGCACACTAACGATAGCACAATATTATGCATTATCGAACACATAAGGTGGTTATATTTATTATCTAATTCTTAACGTATTGTCTACTGTTTATTGATCTGTAATGTTAAAGGCTTACAGTTAAGTTCTTCATTAATTTCTCATTATTGATTACCGAGTAATTTTTCTTTGAATACTTCCATAAAGCTTAAACAAGTGTTATTTGATTTCATTTAAAGTTGTTTCGTTCTTTTATTTCAGCAGCAACAACCACCAATTAGAAATCTTCCACTCGGTCATATGGGACATCCGGGAACTTCTTATCCACGCTATCACCATTAATAATTTCAACTCTTCATGTAATATTTTCTTGTACATATTAATATTGTCTTAACATTTCCATAGTTCCGTGGTCAATACTGATGTTTTATTTTGTTTTTATTTTGAAACACTTGTATAATTATGTAAATAATAAAAACATACAAAAGTAGGAATGTGTGGCTCGATATTCTATGAGTTCAAACGTAAACTAGTTACCAATCTGTTATTCCCATGTTCAGCTACTCACGACACTCACTTATCAAGATTCTAATCTCCAGAAGAATGGCAAGACGAACCAGATAAGGACTCAAATTTACATTTTGTTTTACTTATTATTCCTCTTCATTTAGACGTTAAATCCACAAATAAAATTTTCTCTCAATAGTTTCTAACCTACATCCAAACAGATCCGTTGTGACTGAATGCTTGTCATTAATACCGTGAACTTATCATACATATTCCCTAGAACGAAATTGATATGTTGAGTATTTGAAATTACTTCACAGCTGTAGTGATGCATGCAGTAATTAAAACATTTACTGGTTCACTTAACTCCGCCAGTAGAACCTTCGGAGCTACTGCCGGTCCCAAGCGTGGATAAAGGAGGAGGGTTGGCGACCCCGTCCCACCAAAAAAACGCTTACCAGAAAAAAAATAAATCAAACCATTTTAACTCTGCCCTGGGAGTTGGAAGAAGAATTATGTCGTCTCGTGACGAAAGCCGAGTCACGAGCCCGATGCCTCTTCTGAGAACCAGATCAACCATTTTTTAAGTACATGGAACGTTCGAACATTGTGGGAGACTGGAAGACTATTTCAAGTTGCTGTAGAAATGAGAAGATACAACCTGGAAGTGCTTGGAATCAGCGAAACGCATTGGACACAGGTAGGACAACTGAAACTAGCTTCAGGGGAATTGCTGTTATAGACCCAGGATCATTAAAGCATCCTTTAAAACAAAGAAAAAGGACATTGCAATGAACGTCATCCAATGTTATGCATCTACCAATGACGACGTTAAAGATCAATTCTACGAAAGGCTGCAATCAATCGTCGAGAAATGCTCGCCAAAGGATTTGACGATTCTTATGGGAGACCTGAATGCCAAGGTTGGAATGGACAACACTGGATATGAAGACATCATGGGACGACATGGACTGGGAGAAAGGAACGAAAACGGTGAGAGATTTGCAAACCTATGTGCCTTCAACAAACTGGTCATCGGTGGCACAATATTCCCGCACAAACGCATTCACAAAGCCACATGGATTTCACCGGACCACACTACTCAAAACCAAATTGACCATATCTGTATCAACAAAAAGTTCAGAAGGACCATGGAGGATGTGAGAACCAAGAGAGGAGCTGATATAGCTTCAGATCACCACTTGCTGATCGCCAAAATGAGATTGAAGCTAAAGAAGCACTGGACAGCGGGGCAGACAACATCACAGAAGTTTAATACGGCCTTTCTTCGGGATACCGTAAAACTCAACGAATTCAAGATAGCCCTCACCAATAGGTTCCAGGCCTTTCAGGATCTACTCAATGGAGAGGAAGCAACATTGGAGAACAATTGGAAAGGGATTAAGGAGGCAATCACTTCAACATGTCAGGCGGTTCTGGGTCACAAGGAATGGATCTCTGTTGGTACTCTTGAAAAAATTGAAGAAAGGAAGAACAAGAGGGCAGCAATCAATCTCAGCCGAACAAGAGCAGAGAAAGTTAGGAAACAAGCTGAATACACAGAAGCCAACAGGAAAGTGAGGAGAAGCATCAGAGCCGGCAAACGCAAATATGTGGATCTATCAATGACGGCGAAAAAGGCTGCAAGAGACGGAAACATGAGACAATTGTAAGATACAACAAAGAAGCTCTCTGGAAACTATCGTAAACCAGGGCGACCAGTGAAAAGCAAGGAGAGCAAAGTAATCAGCAACACTGAAGAACAGCAAAATAGGCGGGTAGAGCACTTTAAGGAACTTCTGATTCAACCAGCTCCACTGAACCCACCCAACATCGAAGCAGCGTCTACGGACCTCCCAATTAATATTGGCGCACTTACAATTGAGGAGATCAGCATGGCCATCAGACAAATCAAGAGCGGCAAAGCAGCGGGACCAGACAACAGAGGCAATCAAAGCAGACGTGGAAGCAACTGCAAAAATACTTCACATTTTCTTCAAAAAGATTTGGGATGAGGAACAAGTACCATCAGACTGGAAAGAAGGATACCTGATTAAAATTCCAAAGAAAGGCGATCTCAGCAAGTGTGAGAACTACAGAGGCATCAATAACAGGCAAAGTCTTCAACAGGTTATTGTTAAACAGAATGAAAGACTTCGTAGATGCCTAACTGCGAGACCAACAGGCTGGATTTCATACCGACAAATTTCAACGTTACGGATGATTGTGGAACAATCGATTGGATGGAACTCACCACTATACATCAACTTCATCGGCTACGAGAAAGTATTCGATAGTGTGGACAGGAATCACTATGGAGGCTTCTTCGACACTACGGCGTGCCTGAGAAGATAGTCAACATCATACGCAATTCTTACGATGGATTAAACTGCGAAATCGTGCACAAAGGTTAGCTGACAAACTCGTTTGAGGTGAAGACCCGGTGTCAGACAAGGTTGCTTACTCTCACCCTTTCTCCTCATCATCAACTGGATTATGAAGACCAACATCTGGAGGGAAGCACGGTATTCAATGGACAGCAGTAGGTCTGAACATATACAAAGGGAAAAGTAAGATTCTACGATACAATACAATATGCGCCAACCAAATCACTCTTGATGGAGATTCTTCGGAGGACGTTAACACCTTCACATATCTTGACAGCATCATCGACAACCAAGGTGGATCCGATGCAGATGTGGGGGCGCGGGTCGGCAAAGCAAGGGCTGCATTTTCACGATTGAACTCCAAACGAATATCAATCAACACCAAAATCAGTATTTTCAATACAAATATCAAGACATTTCTACTGTATGGAGCGGAAACTTGGAGAACTACGAAAGGCATCATCCAGAAGATACAAGTACTTATGAAAAGTTGTCTACGCAAAATACTTCGTATTCGTTGGCTAGACACTATCAGCAACAACTTACTGTGGGAGAGAACAAACCAGATTCCAGCGGAGGAGGGAGTCAGGAAGAAGCGGTGGATGTGGATAGGACACACACTGCGAAAAGCACCCGACTGCGTCACAAGACAAGCCCTTACATGGAACCCTCAAGATCAAAGGAAAAGAGGAAGGCTAAGGAACACATCACGCCGAGAAATAGAGAAAGACATGCGAAGAATGAACACAAACTGGAAAGAACTAGAAAGGGAAATCCAGGACAGAGTAAGTTGGAGAAAACTGGTGGGCGGCCTATACTCCATTGGGGGTAACAGGCGTAACTAAGAATAAGTAAACAGTAAGTGATTCACTTAGTTGTATTATCATTTATTTTCTGAACATATCTGATACTTTCTTGTAACTGTACCATATTGCCTAAATAAGGGGCCAATTAAGATAAGAACTTTGGCATTTAACTTTTTTATGCTTATTAAAACGATGACTGACCAAAAAGTTGTTTTATGCCATATAAGTGTTGCGGTATTTTATGTTATTCATCAATGTCAATTATCCCATTTTGTTTTTGAAAATGTTTCAGTTGTTATACTGGTTTATTGTTGTGCATTATGCTCTTATATTTTAATCTTATCATTACTTGAGTTACGTGTTTGAATGATGATCAGTGATATTCGTTGCCTGTGTTCTAATTGGAAGTTTAAAGATGTAGGAGCTTTCATGATCTATTTACCACATGACAAATTTAACGATATGAACAAGAGCAAAACACTAATATTAAGAAATTAAGTATAGTATCAGCCAATGCAATATATTGATTTTACGCAAGTACAAATAGTTATTATAAATTTTATGATAACTAATATCAGCTATACATAAACACAGGTTAAGCAGAGCTCACCTCCTTCTATTTATGGAAATATACTAAAATGTATCGCAATAAGTGACAGATTCAAAAAACTCACCTAGTTAGTATAAACCAAGCCTTTTTCTTGATATATGTAAATATTGGCAGAGGTAAGTTACCATACAAAAGAGATGTACAGCTGAAAAATTGTTCATACTACTAAAAATTAGCATATTCTACATGTCAATAAAAGCAATGGATTGTCCAAATGGAAATCTTAATTCTAGAACGAAATAATATATATTCATAGGATCAACGACGGTCAGTGTTACACAAAATTCGAGCATCGAATAACATGAACATCAGACCGATAGGTTTCAAGATATGATGTATCTTCGATTCTACTTCATCTCAATAACTACAACGTTGAAGAGCAGTGAAATCACTTTCAGAGGCATGGTACTCATACAAAACAGATTTTGGTAGGCGAACTGAACGCAAATAATAGACAGTAAAACAAAGACTGCAGCAATAAATTGGGGATTAACTCAGGAAATCCTTCCACACTGTGGGTGGCCAGGAAGTGGCATCCGCCTTCATACCCCTCTTACGCCCACAACTAAGCCTTCGTTTATTCCTTTATTACTTAGCGCCACCACTGCAAACGATTCGAGTACACGAAATTTTATCCCCTCTCTAAACTACGCGTTAAAGCTTTCAATGTACGAAACTTGTGCCAAACAGGCTTCCTTTGCTAGGACTCTAGAATCTCGTACCATCGATGTATGCTGTGTCTATGAAACGCGTATACAGCATCCGAGTAAGATCACTCATTTGACCTCACTTTGTCAAGATAAATGACGAACTCGATTTACACTGTTTCTGAAAGCCCGAATGCTACTACTTGTGACCTCACTGGCGTAGGTATTGCACTGAACTCTAAGGCCAAACTAGCTATCTTAGACTGAATTTCAGTAGATAGTCGCTTATGTGCTGTCCGACTAAATGGAACAGTAAAAACTCGTAAATATGCGTACATTCACCATTGTCTATTTATTGTTGCTGCGCACGCTCCCGCTCACTACAGCTCGGACAAGATAAAAGGTGAATTTTGCAGCAATTTTTCGGACCTGCTTCAAAAATTTAAGCGCTCTGATGTATTAATAGTGGCTTATGACTTTGATGCTGAAGTATGTAGACTATGTGGACCTAAATAACACCTGGATGGATCTTATGGTATCGCGACCCACAGAACAGATAATGGCGATTGTCTTCGGAAGTTATGTTCAGACAACCGCCTATTTCTAGCACATACTACCCTCAAACATAAGAAAAAATGTATTTTGACATGACAACCCGCAAAATTAACTCAACTAGAACACACTACTATAGGACACCGAAGGATAGGCTTGATAGAAGATTGACATATTCTGGAACACACGTTTGGATTCAGATCATGCTCTAGTGAGAGCGCATATTTTCCTACGTCTTACTAGACATAGGAAAGATACTGCGAGGAAATCTCTTAGGGCTCTACTTAATGATAATAAAGCTAAGAATATGGTCGCATTATTAGCAAATAAAACTCAAGACAAGTTGTTTATATGAATTTTTTTATTTTACAACCTCGAACAACACATTTGTAAAACAAAGAGCAAAGTCTATACTAATCAAGATTAGTGATATTCATCTCTAAGCCAAATCTATAAGGTTGTATAGGCATTATTGATTATAACTGAGTAATATAAAAATGCGCATATGTTCAATGTGACCATATTTAGCGGCAATTGCACGAAGTTTGTAAAGTGAAAAATTATAATAAAACAGAGAAGCAAACTATATCTTGTTAAATCTTGGTAAAACTATATTTAGAAAAATACTTTTAGTTTGCCAAATGTTATTAGAACACAACTTTAACTTTTATCTTGATGTTAAAGTTTGACAAAGTTAGATTTTGATAATTTATCCCATAGTTCTAATAAAGACTTTAGCGTATCCACCCACTGCTGAATATCCATAGGTGTAGTAGTCTCTATTAATTGGGACATACACCAATGGATTTTTTCACGTAGTTCTGTTAGCATATTAACCTCGTTGTACGCACTTGTTACAGATTGTTCATTATTAGAGAGCGGTTTCGTGGATCTTTTGGGTAAACTACAGAAATACAAGAAGATTGTAGAAAAGTATGAAATCGAAGAGAAAAGAATATTATTAAACGCCTTATTAAGCCGTAATTTGTATACAAGCACATCTTTGAACTAACTTACAACATATTTAGATTGAAAGGCTTGCAAAACAAGCTGTGAGATGTATTCTAGGGGAGACAACAATACCAATAAATAAAACGAACAAACTGGTTCAGTAATGACAGTTTTTGCCAACAAATCGAGTCACAGATTAATTGTATGAAATGATATTATTAAACTGTTAATATTGAACAATACCAACTATGATTCCACAATTCACCAATTAAGGACCGTATGAATAAACTACTGAGCACATAAGTCCTATGAACGACCCCTACGCACTCAGCAACATTAATCACATCACAAGAGCTTTAATAATCCAATGAGGTCCGTTGTCAAAAGAAGCCAGTGACTGTACTTATATGCTGCTCACAGATCTCCGAAACGCGCATACGCTCCCACTGACTGCAGTTCAGACAACGTGAAAGATAAGTTTTATAGAAACCTCTAAACTTCTTCAAAATGTTAAGCGCTCTGATATAGTAATAATGGCTGGTGACTTTAACGCTCAAGTAGGTAGACTTAGCGAAAAGGAAATAAACCTGGATGGATCTTATGATGTCGCGGCTAATAGAACGGATAATGGCAACCGTTTGCTCCAACTTTGCTCAGACAACCGCCTATTTCTAGCAAACACTAACCTTAAGCATGAGGAAAAACATCTCATGACCTGGCGACCCCCTAAGCAGACCAACGGTGGACCCAACTAGATCATATCGCTATAAGCCATCGGTGGATAGGGTCTATTGAAGACTGTCGCGTATTTTGGAGCACTTGTTTAGACTTAGATCATGCTCTAGTGCGAGCGCATATTTTCCTGCGTCTTACTGGACGTAGGAAAGACACTGCAAGGAAACCTCTTAGGGCTCTCCTTAATGATAATAAAGCTAAGAATAGATTTCAGGAACAACTAGAAAAACAGTTAGGCGGAATTGTAGTAAGTGATGCCCACCCTGACGCAGCTTGGAATGATATCAAAAGGGCTGTGGAATCTGCAGTGATATCTGTTAATAAGGTAAGCCCTAAGGTTACTGATAAGCCGTGGATCTCGGTAGCATCTACCGAACTGATGGATGCTCGAAAGCTCATCCCACCTAGCTCTGAGTACGATGGGGACCGGGGTCAGCTCAGGCGCAAGCTGTTAAAAAGCCTTCGCAATGATCGAGAACAGTGGTGGGTATAGAAAGCAAGGGAGATAAAAAACGAGTCGGCGATAGGTAACAGTAGACAACTATTCATACATATCATGGAAACCGGTATTAAATACGAGAAAGTGAGTGAGACTATTTCGGTAAAAGATGGTCTTATTATTCATTTTCAATCCAGGAGACTGGATCGATGAGCAGAACACTTCAGGGATCAGTTCAACTGGCCCTTAGCCACACTTCGGTTACCCGCGATCTCCAGTCATCCTGAATGGGAAACCGACATAAGTCCTCCGAATCTTTATGAACTTGAGAAGGCGATAGGAAGTCTGAAGCGAAGGAGAGCAGCGGGTCCAGATAGGTTGACGCCTGAGATATTTAAGGACGGTGGTTCAGCTTTAGCAGCTAGGTTGACTGAAATCTTAGGTGGAATTCGGGAACTGGACACAATCGCATCCGACTGGTCTTAATCACCGATTGTCCCAATTTATAAGAAAGGACAAAAGTCATCTTGTGACAATCACAGGGGAATCAGTCTAACTAATATAGTTTCCAAATTGTTAGCCTCGATTATCCTTAGACGCCTAACTAGAGCTCGTGAAGAGCAGACTAGAGAAAACCAGGCTGGTTTTAGACCTGGACGTGGATGCATAGACCACATTTTCACACTACCGCAGGGAATGGAACACAGACACACATTTAGGCGTCCTACAATAGTTGTCTTCCTGAACCTTAAGGCGGCATTCGACTCTGTTGATCGTGAGGTTCTGTGGCAGAGTCTGTCATTGAAAGGAGTACTAGAGAAGTATATTAACATCTACAAGCCCTCAACTGGAACGCCACTGGTCAGGTGAGAGCCAATGGCGAACTGTCATCAGAATTCTCCACTTCAAGTGGTGTCCGTCAGGGATGTCCACCTTCTCCATCCTTGTTTAATTTCATCATAGACATGCTCCTAGAAATAACCTTATCCTCGTCTGAATTTTCTGGAGTAGACCTTATACCAGGTGGCTCGCTTATTGACGTAGAATATGCCGACGACATTGCCCTACTTGGTGAAGGCGCTGACAAAATGCAGAGTCTTCTGACTACCCTAAGCAACAGTGCAAGCAAGTTCAGGATGCGGTTTCCCCCCTCGAAATGCAAAATGTTGCTTCAAGATTGGGTTTCATCGGCACCTGAACTAGTGATAGGGAGTGAAGTAGTCGAACGTGTAGACCGCTTCACCTATCTTGGGAGTCTCATCAGTGCCGATGGCCTGGTGACTGACGAAATCTCAGCACGAATACAGAAACCTCGATTGGCTTTTACCAACCTGCGTCACTTATGGCGTAGGCGAGATATCCTTTTGCTGACTAAAGGACGAGTGTACTATGCAGTGGTTCGCTCCGTCTTACTTTATGGCTGTGAAACATGGCCAGTGAGAGTAGAAGATATTCGTAGGTTACTGGTTTTCGATCATAGGTGTCTTCGAAGCATTGCTCGTGTATAATGGGACAACCGAGTAAGCAATGCTGTCGTTAGGAAACGGGTAATAGGTAAGGATGGTAGATCAATAAATGAAGTAGTGAAACTTTATCAGTTGAGGTGGTTGGGACATGTGTTACGTAGGCGTAACCACCGACCACCTCGTCGAGCTATATTTTGCGGTCTGGAAGTAGGCTGGAAGAAAATAAGGAGCGGTCAGACCAAAACATGGCACAAATCCATGAAATCACTGACAAGTGGACTGAGTCATGTCGGTAGGTGTCGACTACCTGGTTGGGGTCCGCGAGATGATAATAATCGATGGTTAGAGACCCTGAATGACATGGCTGAAAACCGTTTGCAATGGCTCAGGTGCATTTACTGTTTGTGTTCTATGGAATTCTAACCTTCTGAATTCCTCATCACCTCTATCTTTCTTTCTAAATTTACCTCACCGAATTGTACTTCTTGAATAATATCTTCGAATCCTAATCTCTCCGATTACTTCTACTTTTTCTACCTCTACTGCTAAGGGACTTGAATTGACAATTATATCTCTGTGCTAACGTGGTATGGCAACTTCAACTGATGTACTTACGTACGAAGTTCTACGTTGCTTTTGATGATCATAAACTATTGATTATAATTATTAGTTCAAGACATATTTTTTAATGGACTACTACTCCCGGTTCACTTTACAAATGTGACTGAATATCCTGTACAATAGGTCACCTATTTGCTGAAAAGTTACGCTGTCCGAAAGTTCCGTAGCAAAGCTGATATGTTGCATATTGAGGTTTAAGTCTGCTACCCATTACAATTAAAATAGAGGATCCCGTTATACAGTGCAGACATTGAAAAGTCGACAAGCAGATAACCAGACAATTCCAGTTTGCGTTTTGGATGAACTGATCAGATGTACACCCATGATAAAGTTGAACTTCTGTCTGACCAACAATTTGTGTGTCCCTCAACATTAGAAGAGCTTTCAACCCACTCCATGGGATCATGTTCCAATAAGGAAATTTCAGGAAGCGAAATGGCTGTAGACTTAACACCGATTGATTACTATTTTGAATAGGTTACTATATAATAAGTTGTACCGTTTCAATCCACAAAAACATAATTTGAAAACAATTAGTACTGATAACTGTAGTGAAAAATACTACATTCACCGTTAAATGAAACGTATGATAGAGTTGCTCAACTATTTACTGAATGAACTAGGAAGTCATCTGGTTGATCTAAAGGCAATCACCATTGTACAACAATAAATCTATTTTGTTTTAGCCATTAGTTTGGCTGTGTAAACACCTAAATTTTAAAGTCTGCTTTATCAACTTGTGTTCAAGTAGCTAGTTAACAGTTTTAGTAACGAAAAGTCATGAACACAAATCGGTATTCGTTTACGGAGTCTCATTAGAGCTAATTTAATTAACCATCAAACTGCAATTTTTCTAATATTTATACTCAATAAATACACATACCCAGAAACTGTATTGATTGGAAAATGGGCAATGCCAACATCATTATGAAATGGTGATGATTCAGTCAAGAAGTTCTGTGATTTATTCAATAAGTGTTGATTACTTATTAATGATTCTTTTGTAGTACTGGATTTCTCCTGATCAACTTCTAAGCACGCTACACAGTAATACTGACCATTTGGTTGTTGGAAAAGAATAGTCTGCGAAACATAAATTGGAGTATATTATACAACTACCAACCTCACATTTAGGACAAGATTCGTTTAACATTCTCCATCCTTTCAAAAGATAATGACCCATAAGGTTAGAAATCTTATCTGAACGTTGACGCTTTTCGGCCATGTCACTACTTATATGCGACGAATCATACGAAATGTCATTGTCTTCAAGAGATTGTGAAGTCATGATCACCTGAAACACGTTCATTAAAAGATTTAAGCAAAAATACTTTCTGGGTAAGAAATATTTACATTCTTAGTATAATCAGTACTTAGTTATGTGAATATACCACATAAAGACATGGTCGACAGATATAGCTAATGAAATGACAACTACTAGAAGAGTGTGAAGTATGTATAAAATCGGACTCAATCTAAGAACTACTAATTGGTGTACTTACGCCTGATCGGACAGTATCTAGAAGTAGATTATGCGGAATTAATTGTCATCCAGACAGACAGACAGATACAACGCAGGACTTCGTACGTAAGTACATCAGTTCAGGTTGCCATGCCCCATCAGCACAGAGACGCAACTGTCAGTTCAAATCCAACAGTGATAGCAATAATAGAAGTATTAGCAGTAATGGAGAAGATTAGGCACCGAAGATAAAATTCGAGAAGTATAATTCAGTAAGATAAATTTAGGAGAAAGGTAGAGATTATGAGGAATGTAGAAGCTTGGAATTTCATAGAACACAAAGAGTGGATGCACCTGCGCCATTGCAAACGATTCTGAGCCATGTCATTCATGGTCTCTAACCATCGGTAACTATCGTCTCGCGGACCCCAACCAGGTAGCCTACATCTACCAACATGACTCAGTCCACTTGTCAGTGACTTTATGCATTTGTGCCATGTTTTGGTTTGGTCGCCCCTAGCTTTCTTCCAATCTACTCCTACACTTCAATAACTGTCATCCCAACACTTTAATAAAATGATTGATTTACCTATACACGAAACACAAATTTATGTACTAAGCTTAAATTATATCTTATTTGTTTTAGATAAATATACCAACAGAATGCCTAGATGAGTAGATAAAGCCCAGGTAACAGAGCACTATAACCAAAAGCCACCGCTCCATATTCATGTCCTAATAGAGAACGCTTACAATTAGTTCTTCTCAAAAGAGTTGACTTTTGTGGTCTTGGTGACTTGCATCTTTCAATTATTGGGGCCCTAGATGTCAACTGTCACATCAGTGACAATTTTTGGTGTGTTACTGATACAACCCTAAGATTACCTTTTGAGGATTTCACCATTCAAATGTATCTGTGATAAAATATCCCTCATTCTTGCTTGCTTCCTCCTATCACTGAGAAAGTCCCTAACAATCTATTACAAAGATTTTTAGTTTCCCTTTGAGACCCATATTATAGACAATATTTTGGTGAAGCCTATAAATACTATACCTACAGGAGTATTTCATACTCACAATTTTTTAATCTCCTTTTTCTTGATGACCTTAGTCAAGCATGAATAAACCGTACGAGAACCATGATTTTTCCAAAGGAGTATTTTCTTACGAGTGAAGCAGGATAGCAGCACACACTATCCCCGTAATTTAAGCCACTTTGCTATTAAGACTGAAGTAACAACTATTTCATCAACGGCTCCGATAATTCGATAGTGGACATCGTTAAAACTACTGAACTCATATGGTTTGATGCGTTGTAGTATTTGTAAGCATTTACCATAGAGACTGGACTTCTCGAAAATTCACCAATTTTAGATTTCTTTTGTTGATCACAGGATAAATATATCCAATATATATTGGATTTACTCATATTATAAAATAGGTTTATTTATCTCGTTATATGCAGTTTCGCAGCTAAAATTAAAAAATGTAGGTTTACATTCAGTCGTTATATTTACAACTGAACTGTGATTTAAAAATTTCGTGTGTATCAGTCACATGTAGTGATTAGCGTCTAGCCAGAAGGTATCTTGTGTACTAAGGGAGCATGTACAAAAGCTTCAGTGGGAGGAACTGGGAAGCAGGACGAAAGAGGTGAACCAGCGACCCAGGAAGCGCATAAAATGCAGTTACATCTAATTAGTATAGTAATAAACAACAATCAGTAAACAAGTTTCAGATTCATGCAAATCAGGAGTGGATAGAGAGAGGATTTTAAACTAATAGATACACTGTATTATTATCGCGTAACGGCTTATTCTGAATGAACGACTTTGCTGTTTAAATCAGGGCCTCAATCCCAGTTTGAAAAGGACAGGAGGTTGGATGGCCTATATTAATCTTAGTAACTGTGGCCTTTCAGTTGATCCAACTTTCTTTTGAATGAGCCAAATGAAGCCTTACTGAAGTGTAACAAGTTCCATTGTTGATCCGATGGGAAAATTGATAGTCAGCTGATCAACCTATTTGATTTAGTAACCTTGGTAAAACTTTGATCAATTTTAGGGAGTAAACTTCGAGGAAACTACGTTCAGACTGAGGAAGTCCCCAAAAATGTTGGGAGAACCCAGAATACCCTTAAAATTCCCTGTACGAGCCAATTTAGTATCCTTTAAAGTAAGGAGATTGGATGTTAACCATTTTTTCGGAATATTAAAGATGAACCAAGTTGTCTACCTATTATAAGAAGTCCTGTGTTATTAATAATGAAACGAAAAGTCACCTACGACTTCAAATTTTGGAAAGTAACTTGTTCGCTAGGGGGAGTCAGGAAAAATATGAGACTACCTAGAAGAGGAAGGAATAAAAATGTGAGCAGACGACTCAGTAAGCACAGCCAATGCAGTTAATTTTTTTTAAGAAATAAATTGGAAACAGTTGAAAGCAACACAAGCATGATATTAAGACAAACTGACAACAGGAATCATAAATTGATAGCACAAAGTACCATACACGTTTAACACCTAGTTAAAATTACCTCATTTTTTGTCACAGCCTTGAAAAGCTAAGGTGACGGCGGGCATTCCATTTTCGGAAAGCTTGGAATGGATTTCTCGCTTTTCTAGCATTTTGGGATTTGGACTTCTAGACATTTTCGAAAAGATGTTTTTTCGAAATATCATCTACAATAACCATATACTCCCTTACATTTCGTAACCAAATAAAAATTTTCTCTTTTACTTCTGTGTTGACATCAACATCATACGGAATTCTTATGATGGATTGAACTGCAAAATCTTGCACGGAGGATAACTTGCAGACTCGTTCGAGATGAAGATCAGTGTCTAGCAAGGTTTCTTGATACCAATATTTCTCTTTCTCCTGTTGAGATCGACTGGATTATGAAGGCTTCGACATCAGGTGGGAGCAAAGAATACAGTGGATAGCTAGGATGCAGCTGGACGATCTAGACTTCCAAGGTTATCTGAAATTTCCACCTCAGACGCAACAACAAATGCAGGAGAAGATGACTAGTCTAGCAGCATTCTGAACATACACAAGGGAAAAATTAAGATTCTCCGATACAACACAACATGCACCAACTAAATCACACTAGACGGGGAAGCTTTTGGGGATGTAAAAACCTCTACATATTTAGGCAGCCTTAATAATGAGTAAGGTGGATCTGAAGCAGATGTCAAGGCTCAGGTCAGTGAAGCGAGTATATCATATCTACAGTTGTAGAACATCGGGAACTCAAAACTGTCAACGAACACCTAAGTCAGAATTGTCAACACAGATGTGAAGACAGTTCTACTTTTTGGAGCATAAACTTAAAGAACCATGAAAGCCATCATCCGGAAGATACAGTTGTTTGCTAACAGTTGTCTACGCAAAATTCTTCGTATCCGCTGGCGAGAGACCATCAGCATTAACCTACTATAGGAGAGAACAAACCAGATTCCAGCTGAGGTAGAAATCAGGAAGAATCGCTGGAAGTGGATAGGATACATTGAGGAAAGGACCCAACCACGCCCAAGAAAAATCCTCGCTTGAAATCCCTAAGGCTAAAGAGAAAGAGGTAGACCGAAAATCACATTACACCGAGAAATGGAGACAGACATAAGAATGAAGAACAACTGAACAGCACTAGAAAGCAAGACCCAGGACAGAGTAGTTTGGAGTATGTTGTTCGATGGCCGATTCTCCATTCGGGGTAACAAGCGTAAGTCATTCGGTGTTTTCTACCCAAGGTAAGCAGGAGTACTGTATCATATAGTTCAAACACGGTTTTTACCAACCCAGGCATTTGGTTTCAACCGTTAGTGCTTTTTCAAAGGTTCTACAGTTAAGAAGAGTTCGAAAAAAGCTTTAACAAGTTTCACCAAAAATGTTTAGCTTACATGTATAATGAGCGGATAACGTGTACTCATCACATTCATCTATGTGGTAAAACAAATCCTAGTGAACGTCAGAAATGTGTTTGTTGTCTTTAGATGCACGTTTGGCCACAAGGTGTCGGCCTCGTTATTAAATCTTAAGGATGTTTACTAATGTGCAATAATGTAAGAAAGGGTATGAATCAATCAATAAAATTTTAAGTTACTAGTTTGCTGTGAGCTTCAGGATTGCAGACGGCTTTCGGATTACATGTTGACGGGATTCGCCAAAATACTGCTCATTTTCGCGGGCTAGTACCGGATTTCTTGCATAATATTCGACAGTAGGCTATTCTAATTACTTGGAGATCGCTTGGCAGCCAAAATCCAGGAAATCGCAAGTATTTCTTTTTGATGAGATTCCTCAATATATAAATAAGAGTTCAGTTCATCTGAATCCCTGTTTTTGGTAGCCTTACTAGCAAATAACCTACTTCAAATACGCAATCTCATAGAAAATCTCATGATCTTGATTGACAGATTTTCAGTTTTATAGGTGACGCCTTTTAACAGGTAAGTCCTGTTTAAAAACATTCATTTGTTATCAGGTATTCCAGCAGTTGTATGGGGACAGAAAATTGCAATGTCTTGGAGAAGACAGGTGGTTGTTACGCAGAACAACATTCAAGTCAATTATGTGCCCATAATTTTTAATGACTTTGATTCGACTTTACTTATTGCATTAAAGATAACATGAAACAAACTATTCAGTAAATACTAATTGCCTTTCGTATTTGCAACAATACGGAAAGGTAGACCAGCATTGCTAGCAAATCTAGTTACCTGTAATATTCTCACCGAAAGTTGCCCTCTGCTCCTCATCTAAAGTATGTATTGTAATTCTTTTGCAATCAAGGGTTTACTGGAGGAACTCCATTCCAGTAGCTAGGTTGGTAATATATCATCATGGTTATCTGTTGATCACCTAAACATTGTCAGTGCCTAAAACACAAAAGGCATTCTGCAAAGTTCATAAGTGCATACCCCTCCAATTTAAATTCATGGAAAGTCTCATAAGTATATTCTAAGCCGCCTTTTTAATTATATCCCATTCTAAACAACTTCAGAACACTAAGTTGACAATAAAAGTTAATTAATGCCTTTACTTATAACGGGTTAGCTTACTATACTTGGTTTAGCGAAGTAAAGTAGGCGTGCTTCCATGATATATCAAGATGTCCCACTGAAAATAATTCATGAGTAAGGCACATTATTTCTCAGAATCCCTTTATCTAGCATACGAATCTGTGGTGTTTGAATTAACTAGTGACTTCTTGGTTGTTGTTGAATGCTTGATTTCGAATTCTAAATACAGTACATTCGTTTTTGCTCATCTCGTAGTTCTTGATTCTTAAATACAAATACTTCTAATTATCATATTGGCGTCGCGTTGGAGCTTGTAATGGAACAGTTAGATATTCACTCTACTTCTGAAGCTTTTGAGGATTATTTGGAAAGGTTTGAAATCTGGAGTATGACCAAGAAAGATCTTAAAGATGATAAAATTGTGGCTCATTTCCTGGCATTTATCGGAAAAGAAGCGTACAGCTTATCAAAAACTTTGGATATATAATTAATGCTATACGGAAAGGTTGGAATGCTAATCTGAAGGGTAGATTCCCTATCTATTTTTCTAAGTGGGACGAGCTATCCACTACTCCTGATGGTATTTTTTGTTTAAATTCCTCCTTCACTGCGTAAAGCTGTCCTGGAAGATCTTCATAGTGGACATTTAGGTGTTGGGAAAATGAAGTCCTTGGCGAGGCTCACGTGTTGGTGGTCAGAGATAAATGCAGATATTCGTCGCACAGCAAACATTTGCGAAAAGTGTCATAAGCTGAAAAATCAGCATTCGAAGTGGAGTCCATTCCCAGTATCGTCGGAGGCCTGACAGAGAATTCATGCAGACTGTTGTGGCCCGTTTCCTGGCTAATACTATGCGCTTGTAGTCATTGATTCTTTTTCAAAGTGGCCTGAAGTTTTTTTCACAAATTCACCAAATTCTGACTTCACAATTCAAGCATTAAGAAAGGTGTTTAGTCGAGAAGTGATTCCAATGGTGTTAGTGACTGATAACGGCTCTCATTTTGCTGCAGATGCAGTCACTACCTGGTTAAATGGTATGGGGTGCAAACATCTGTTTACTGCTCCCACACATCCTTGTTCCAATGGTCAGGCAGAAAAGTTTGTCAGGACGTTGAAAACTGCTATTGATTCTATTGCCGCCTCAACATTTAATGAGCTGGAGAGGGGAGTAGATACCTTTCTACTCCAATATAGAAATGCCAGACATTCGGTGACGAAAGATACTCCATCAAAGCTATTAAAAGGAAGAATTCCTCGGTCGAATATGAGATGTTTGGAGTCTGCAGAAGTTACATATTATCGTGGCAGTGACCTTTGACCATCCACGGGGATTGTTCTGAAGAATGTCGGGAAATCTATGGTGCGACTTCTAGATATCAATGAATTAAGAACACACAATCGACATGTTGATCAAATACAATTCCAGTAACCGGGTGAGTCTGTTCCGATTTCGGTTGTTAATTCTAATACTAATGAGAGCATTCTAGATAATACAGAGTCTTTATCCAATACACCGTCGGACAGACACAGGATGAATTTGAGAAGAAGACGCACAATTGATTACAGAAACTTGGATTCAAATTTAAGCTGTGGCGGAGGTGGTGTTTGAATTAACTAGTGACTTCTTGGTTGTTGTTGAATGCTTGATTTCGAATTCTAAATACAGTACATTCGTTTGTGCACATCTTGTAGTTCTTGATCCTTAAATACAAATACTTCTAATTATCATAGAATCACAATTAACTATAACTACTTCAACTAAGAGTTTGAATTCGGTGGTTATGAAGCTTCTATGATTCAACTTCATTTCTAAAATCTTTCTCCCTATTATAAATAGTTTTCAGAGCCGCTAATTTAGAAAGCAGGAACTACACACAGGGTTTCGAAGAATTTTTATTAAGTTACATCTTTACTGCAATAATACTCTTCCAATAACTAAATATGTTATTAAGTGTCCACCGAATATTAAGATTAACCTTAGAAACTAATAAAAGATCATGAGTATATTGCACCCGCTTTACCATCCATACAGGTATCACAAGGTGATAGACGAATCTCCCTACTCCTACGAAGAGCAACAGGTTATGCCATTGAGGTGCTACCCTTAAAATTTAAATCCGTGTCATTATCTTCCTATCTTTCACAGCAGTTCCAGTTTATATTTCTAGTAGACAAGTAAATTGAAAAGCCTGTAGATGATGCCCAATTATAAAGAACTAAAACTCCCCGTATCATCGTGAATTCCTTTTTGTTCATGTATTAGGAGTTTATTAAATTTTTATTTCCCCGATCCATGAAAATCTAAACACCTTGCTTTCCTACCTATTTATTGCCCTACTCATGATTTTTAACAACATTTTTCCACTGTTTTCTTCCTTCAGCTGCCTATATTTCCTATCTCCAAACTACCTATTAACTGACCCATACCTTACAATTTATGCCAGTGTGATATGCTACGTGGATTCCTAGTCCGACATACAGAAGCCGTTTTCAGGATTACTTGTAACTTGGAGCTAGTAGAG